GTCTATAGGCTGATATTACGATAATTTTCTGCTTTCCACAACAACGGATACAAATAACCCTTGCACTGATAAGTCACCAATTTTGTTGGGTTAGATATTTCTAGTTATGAAATCCTCAATTTTATCAACACTGTGTTCATTATGTATATTGATTGTACATTTTAAAGTATGTATTTTTTTTTTTAATATCGATTTTGCCTGGAACGCGCCTAACCGTAAAGCGTTTTTATTAAAGAGAATTTATTTTGCTAGCGACCAAAATGCTTGGCCCTTTTTTGTTTGTATAATCTTTAACCAACAATAGTAGTACAAACTATCTATACTATGTACATAATGCCTAATTTTGTAGTCTGTTAAAGTAAAATTCTATCCTCCTTTCGAGTGTCCTACCTTGACGCCTTTTGCACATCATTTTTACTGTAGGTGTTTCTTTTCTTGAATTGGGTGACGAATGGTTGTCGATTATCTATCTTTTCGATGCTCGACTTGAACCTAATCCTCTAATCCATTATCCTATGGGCGATGTTTTTCAAACATTCGCAGCCGACAGTTTCAAATAGAGACAGTTGCCTGTTACGTAATCCGTCTGTCTTTGACCGAGGCGACACTCCTCCGTCGCCGTATTCTTTGCCGATCGGGTAGATCGACGTGGTGTTGGATTTGACGTCGGAAACATCAATTTCGCTTCACTTGTGTTGTTTGGAGTATACCCTTTTCATCCGGCTTAGCCGGGAATTTTATACTTATCAATTTAAACGTGTAGATGAAAATTGTGGACTGTTTTCAGGCGTGAGCGGAATCGGCGTCTCAGTTCCATTAAAGTGAAAATGATTTTGGAAAAAAACTTTTCATAATAATGTCATGGATAAATTTTGCATTCCCTAGTTCTCATAAAATGCTATTAAAAAAAAAGTGAAAAAAATTGCTGAACGTTACGGTGACAAATTTGAACTCAATTTACGATATTTAGATGCAAGGAGTTATATGTCCCAAACTGCAGACGAAGCCCAAAGCTAAGCGAAGATAACACATCGCTGACACCGCATTAAAAGCCCTATTTATTCGATTGTAATATTGTAAAATACGCTCTTAATTATTCCAACCTTTGTAACGGCCAGTTCGAATAAAACTTTATTTCGCTTTCTGTGTAATAAATGTTTTTAAAAACGCTCTCCCGAATTTTGAACATTTAAGTAAGAAAAGAAATTTATACACAATAAAAAATAGGCATTGTGAACATAGTGTTCTTTTTATTAAACGTTTTACAAAAGTTTTTTTACTATACGTTCATATTGTCCAAGCTTTATTAGAATCTAATTTAAGGTGGATATTTTCTTTTTTTAAAAATTAAAACAGCGAACTTTTTTTAGAATTACACTTTTCGTGTCTTCCTCGAGGACTTTTATGGGACTTTTCTTGATGGGTACCACTTAACTTGCTGTCCTTTCCCACGGTAATTTATAAATGGTGTCATTCATCTCAGCAGTTTTACACCCAAATCTGCACTTACTGTTTATAAAACTTCTGGATTTCTGCGTCGGTTGTTGTTGAATCGAACTTGCTAACTATGCACCATCACCAGTCATCGCGATTGGCGAAACAATCATCGCATTGTCTTCTTGAGAGCTTAACTGATGCTGGAAGAAACAGTTCGATTCAACAACAACCGAAGCAGGAGGAAATCAGAAGTTCTGAAAACAGTAGCCTGTGAAATGTAATAAATAGTTTGTACTACTGTTGTTGGTTAAAGATTATAAAAAAAGCGTTATGCTTTATACCTGTCAAGCACTTTGGTAGCTAGTAAAAATAAATGCTTTACGGTTAGGCGTTTTCCAGACAATATCGATATTAAACAAAATACATACATCAAAATGTACAATCAATGTACACAATTAACAGTATGGATAAAATTGAGGATTTAATAGTTAGAAATATCTAACCCAAAAAAACTACAACAGAAAATTATCGTAATATCAGTCTATAGACCTCCGCTTGGATATTTCGAAATAATTTTGAGTAAATTAGAACAGATTCTGTCATTGTTGCATATAGAAACTTAATTGTCGGGCACTTTAATATGGTAATGATAATTGAAAACAACAGAAAGAATATTTTTATATATAGATTTTTGGAATACATACATTAGTGACATGTAGCAGCTGTCTAGGTAATATTTTTACAAATTTAGATATTAATGAACAATGTGTTGTTATATAGAGAATCATATACCTTCAAAGCATCCTTCGTTGAAAGGCTGAAATATAAAAGTTGGATAAATATATATTGCTGACCTGTTACATGTAAAACTGGAATGCTTTCATCTTAAAACATTTCAATCTCAAAACTTAATGATATTAAAAAGAGAAAAAGCATTCAATTGGATAAACCTTTCCAAAAGAAAGTAGCATGTCATCGTCCAAATTGAAAACAAAGCTATGAAATCAAAAATTTTAGAAAAGAGGGTAGGGTAACCGCCGGATAGTATACTGGCACGCATTTTATTCATTTTTTATTTGAACGACGTAACAACGGGAATAAATAAAAACTAACCAAAACTAACCAAAAATGCACTTAACGAAATAAATTTGTCGCTTAGGTAAAACCAACTAACAAAGTCACCTTGATTTCTGATTATATAGTGTTAAATGCTGAGTTAGTAGAAAATACAACTTTCTTAGAAATTGAGGTAGTGCTTCTGACATAGAAAGGGTTTTTATTATACAAAGTAACCATAAGATCAATAAAAAAATTAAGAATAGGGACATTTGCAGAGGCAGCTTTAGACAATTGCAAATAATGGATTTATGGATTCAAGAATAATAAACCAAAAATATAATGTATAATTATAACATTGGAACCCAGACCATCAGACGATAAATGAGAAATGACCTTATTATAAGTGCATCAGGATAAACAATGATATACCCTGAAGATGAATATTTAATGATATCTGACTGATAAGCAATATCTGTCCAAAAGTCAACCACTTGTTGGAGGTTATACTGTCGACATAATCTTGACTGCTCGAACTCAAATGTCTGGCGTGTAAGGGGGCTCGCGTCAAGGCTCCCTCCCAGCTTGTCGGTGTTGCTCCCTTAGCCGCAACGGACAAGTGTCGTCAATTTCGCTGCTAATCTAGGCGATTAACTATATAATATTTTTAATAACAATAATAATAATATTAATCATAATATTGATAATTATAAATAGCCTCTATGGATATACATAAAGAAAAATATTCCACAGTGGATGTAACGCAGGTGCCGATGTCTAGCACCTAACCACCGATACCACATCCAGCATATAAAGACTATTATTATTATTATTATTATTATTATTATTATTATTATTTTCTATTCGCAATCGTGTTCTCGGCAATTCATTACATTTACAATCCCTGTTCCTCCGACTAAATGGTTTATGTCTCCCTATCCTAGGGCACGGCGGATGATGTGGGCTGTCCAAAAGAGAGTAGTTTTTTGCATTGTCGCAATCGTTACCAGGTATTTTATTGATTGTCTCCGCAAGGTTTTTGTGGATGCTTCCTCTCGCTCCGATAATGACGGGGACAAGCCCCCACATTCTCTGCACCCCTATTTGAAATTCTCTGTATTTTATAATCTTTTCCGATTCCCTCTCTTTTATTGTGGCGTCTGATGGTATAGCAACGTCTACCAATAGGCATTTCTTGTTTTTAAAATAATTAATTATAATATCTGGTATGTTCCCCATCATAGTCCTGTCTGTTTTTACTTGCGTGTCCCATGTTATTGTGATTCCCCTTTGGATTCAACGTTTTTTGGCTTGTGTTTTTACAGCACCAACCTCTATACCGTACTGCTTACAGATGTTGTAATGTAGTGTTGAGCATACTGCATTGTGACGTTCAAGATATTCTTTCCTTGCTAGAACTTTGCAGCCTGTGGTGATGTTCTTAATTGTTTCATCAGATTGTTTACAAAGTCTGCATCTTGCGTCTACTTTTCCTTTGAATATTTTTCTATCAAAGATTATATTTGTTCCTTCCATATTCCTGTTGTCAGCTATCTGAATGTCTGCCTCTTGTCCACACCATCCTTATCGACTTCTCTGGCATACTGTCCGTGCATTTCTTTGTTTTTCCATCTTTGTTCTGTTTTCTGGTTAATTTTCCTCCTGCATCGTTGTCTGAGCCTTTTCGCTTTCTGGGCTGCCGTGGTTCCGTTCATTTCACTTACAGATTTGTTTGTATATTGTTTTGTTAGTTTTTGGCCTTGTTCATCAATCTATATTTTTCTTTTCTCTCCATTTCGTTGTAATTTATTAACGCCACAAACTTATCATCTTTTTTTCTCTTAAGTAGTTTGCTATCCCTATAATTGTCAAGTGGTAAGTATGCTCATTGCTGATCAGTCCTCTTCCTCCGGTTTCTATGACTGTGTATAGTCTATCTACGTCCGCCTTCGGATGATGTAGATTATAGATGGTCAGTAGCTTCCTGGTTTTTCAATCTATACTTGTTATTTAATGTTCTCTCCAGTCTAGAATGCCGTAACTAACTGTATGTGAGGACTGATTCTGCGAGCGCTGTAATAGCCATGAATTTGTTTTTCCCTGTAAGATGGCTCCTTAGGATTTTTCTAACCTTGTGTAATATTCCTTGGATACTTTTTACTATATTTTTATATCTTGCATACCAGTATTTTCCAATATTCCGAGGTATCTGTATATTTGTGTTTCTTCCAGATTTGCAATTTCGTTTTCTATATAAATGTGCATATTTTGAGTTTTTGCTGTTTTTCCTCGTTTTACTGTTATTTTGGCGCACTTATCCAAACCAAATTGCATTATTATTATTATTATTATTATTATTATTATATCTTCTGACGCAGAAAAAGATATCGGACTGTAAATTAACCATAACTAAACCACCCCCACCCAATTTTACCGCCTTCTCTGTCACAAGGAACTGTGGACTATCAAAGGGAAGTGATTGAAGTCTTGCATTTTTACTGTTTTAGGGAAAAGCTACAAATGATGGTTCCACCACGCATGGTAACATTTTCGAGAGAGTTAAATCCGCCAGGAGCAGTGTTAACGGAAAGTCAAAGTTTCTTAAACCCGACGTGAGTGCCGAAGTTACAAACCTAACTTTGACGTCGCCGTCCAACGATATCATATTCAGGACATCCGAAGTTAGTGACAACGCGATGTATAACCAAAAGCTGTCCTCCGAATTGCGTTCCACAATTACAACGCCAAAGGAAAAGTTTCAGACAATTCGTGACGGTAAGAATAACAACTTTAATGTTAATAAAATTTGTTTGTATTTATTTAATGTACTGAAATTAAGGTGAGCTCAAATCTTCATCAATTGAAAAAAGTACCCACGAAAAATACAAAATACTATATAGAATATTATCCTTGCTTTTATTTATTACTATTATTATGTTTATTGACTTTCACAGTGTTAATCTTTTTGTTTTCCCAATACCGCGCGTTCAATTTATCTTAATAATATTTTCATTGGGTGCAACTTTTCTGTTTCGAAATTATGTATATAAGTTAAATAAAAAATTATTATGATTAAAATATGTAACACACTGGCTTTCGAGATACAGGCAAAAATAAGAAATTTTGCGAAGAGCACTGTGACAATTAAAGTAATTCGCTATATTTGATATATTCAAAACAATATTGTTTAATTCTGATAAGTTATTGGTACAATTATCGAGCCATGAGTTCCCTCCAAACAGATGCATAAAAGTATGTCAGAATAAAGAAAATAAAACAAATATTTGGAGGCAGGTATTTCTCGTAACTCAATTCAATCAGTGTTAATAAAGTTATGTAATTATACAGTATTTAAGAAAGATGCAGTTCTGGTTGGTTAATTATATTTGTAATTAACATAAAACTTCTAATTTTTCAAAGAAACATTCACACATTTCTGGAATCACCCTGCGCCGGGTATGAATCGTACTTGCGACGAAGGAGGAATTCAGAAGATTTGTAAATAGCATTAAATTAAATAATATATAAATACGCAACACTGGCAATAAATGTTCCTTGACAAATACACAAGTACACCATAGGGACCGGTGGCAAAATTTTGATCAAAATCATTTTGTTACTCAAGAAAATAGTACCGAATGAAAAGAACTCTTGTGTGTGTTAGATAAAAATATCAAACTGTCAGAAAAAAAAAGTACCGAATATCAATTTTTAGAAAATGATTGTTGAAAATTGATTGAAATATATTAATTTTTTAAATGTATTAATAAAACTCAGATAGATAAAAGTAAACTCGTTTTAGCGTTTCTTCCCTTCGTCATATTTATGACCAAACCTCAAAAGTAATCTTAGAGCCTGGAGGGCCTTCTGTCCCACCACTAAACTAAGATAAATTGACTAAAATTTTCCTCAACGTAATTCACTGCATAACTAATTCAGTGGCGCACAATATTACAAAGGAATTAAGTCACCGTTTGGTTCACCGATTATTCACTTGGCAGATTCTGCATCATTTAATAACTAATTGCAAACTGAATTATACCTATACGTCAAATTTGATAAACGATTTGATATCACGACTTACGGATGTGTCTCCATTAGGTATATTATGTATTGCTGACGTTGCAGTTAGGCGTCTTTAGTTAGACTGAACTATATCCAACTGGCAATGTGTCAGATGACAATGCTGATGTACAGGGCGGCTAATTAAATTGTTTAGACGAAATATGATTGAAACCTGTTTTCATTAGTAGATTATGTGACTCAGAATTTCATGTTTTGGTTATTCTGATTTGTTATAATTTGATTACTGACCAAAGGATAGTTATAACAGACTAATTACTACCTATAACTTTCTCTCATCTCAAACCATTTCGAAAGAGTTCAACTCAAATTAAAGCAAATTGCCGTTTTCATTTTTTTTTCTTTAGAACAAGAACATGAAGTACTAATTACAACATTTTATTATTTTTTATATGAAATATTAAAATTCACAGAAATGCAGGGAGATCTATTTAAAATTTCAATGATTGCAGTTGCCATAATTTTTTTATATTTTTTCTTAGTCTTATGCACCTAAACAAAATTACTTCATCTCATTTAATCGACCCGTAATGCGTTATTGCAAAACCCTGTATTTTTAATATTCTTCTTCTACTTCTTGGAGATCTGTCGATCTGTTAATTCTGAAGCAGCCTCTGCATCTTTTCCTGTGATGTGGATTTCTACCCTTTAGGTGGTCTCCCGGGAGGTCTTGGGCCAGGCGGGTTGTTTTCCAGGACTATTCTGGGAAGTCTGTTCTCGTCCATCCGTTTTACATAGTTGTACCACTGCCTCTTACGTTGTCTTCCTTATCTCACAATATCTTGTATCCCGCACTGCTCTCTGACATCTGTCTTTCTTACTCTGTCTCTTTTTGTTTTCCCCACTATTGTCCTCAGTGTTTTCATCTCTGCTACCCTTAGGATTTGTTTCGTCTTGTTGGTGTCTTCGCGGACTTCCGTGCCGTACGTCATGATGGATCTGATACAAGTCTTGTAGATTCTAATTTTGCTATCCTTGCGCATGTACGGATGGGACCAGATTATATCTCGTAGGCATCCTGATAGTGCAGATGCTTTGTTAATCTGGCTCCTTATGTCTTTAACTGGTTCGTGGGTGCTTGATATATCTATGCCCAGATATCTGAATTGCATCACTTGTTCTATGGGTTTTTCCTCCACCACCAGCTTACATCTGAGCGGATCCTTCTCGATTGAGATACATTTGGTCTTGCTGATAGAAATGTTCATATTGAGTTGGCGGCTTTCTAGGAAGAACTGGAATAGTTGTCCCTGTAGTATTTTTAATAATAATAGTAATTTGCATGACTTAAACTAATTTATAATTTATAAATCGTTACGAACATTGGGTGAAAGTTTTTTTCTGTTACCACTTGTGAGTTATTTTAACGCACCCTTTATATTAATTTAGAAAAAATCTGCGCACGGAAACATAATGAGAAGGAAAGTATTGTTTGTCTATTAAAATTACCTTACCTTACATTAAAGTTCCTAACACATGTTGGTATCGCTTATTATACCGTTGAAGCAGCTTAAGCAAAAAATTAAAAAGTGCCAAATCAGAAATGGAATTGTTTTTGGCAGAACCGGTAGATGTTTACCTAATCCTCGTTTAAACTATCTTTATGCGAAGGATATCATGGAAAGAGAACATATTATTACCACTTGAAATAATTTTGCTTATGAGCTCAATAAGTGTCGTATACCAAATTTGTATGGTATATATATGCACTAGAAGATATCACCGGCATCATTGTCACTGCTCGTATCCTAAGCGCCATTGGTTTATATCGGTCCAGTTTCCCTCCTGCAGTTCTCATCTCTCCATTTCGTTAACGTTATTTATCCACAATTTTTGTGGCCTTCCCAGTTCGTTTTTTGCGAGGGAGTCGAGATCCACACTTTTAGTGCAATTCTTCACTTTAGTTGTTTTTTCTTTTATTATGTATGTAACAATTGCAACATTCATTCTCTCTCTAATATCTTGATTCATATTCTCATTTCTTTTTCTGCGCATTCAAGCGAATTGTATAGGTATATATTTATATATATAGCAGCAGATCGCTATAGTAGTTTTTCTCGATGTTTATAGGGTTTATTCTTATTGCTTAATTTGTGTCTTTCCTTAAGCTGTTTTAGCTGTTATTTTCCAAGCATCTCTAAACCTAAACCCACTTAGCGTTGAGTTTGTACGTTAGGTGTATCATGCTATGTTTTTCTTTTTTTTATTCATTTATTAACTGTTGAATTTGGTTTCTTCCATTCTACAACTTTTGTTATTCGTCTATCTCCCATATATTCTTAGACCTGTTTTTTGCTCCCAACGTTTCTGATGCTGCATCTATCTTCTGCTTGAGGTTTTCGTACATTTTTTTTGCCATGTCAGTTATTTCTTCTTCTAACTTTTGAGCTAAGCGTATTTTGTAAAGAAAGAATTTGTTCCTGAAGCTGTTTTATTGTACTTTTTACGTCTCACAATACCTTGTACCATATTGTTTGTATTCTAGTTCTATTGGTGAACTAGCAAATTGTCTGATCCAAATTCCGCTCTCCTCCACAGTTTCAATGTTTTATTCCTGTATCGTTTTATTATAGTATATATCGACCAATATAAAATTTATTTATTTTTTGTTTTCTGTATCCAAGTATAATCTGTTTAAAGAAGTCATTTATTATTTTAAGTGGTTTTAATGGTGTTCACAGGGCTCTATCCGTTTTTTAATATTATCCTTAACTGTATCGTCTCCACGTCTCCCGACAGTTTTACTGTCAAGGGCTCTTCCTACCTTTCCGTTTAAATCTCCCGAAAACAAGACTTCTTGCTTAGCTTTTACTCTATCTAGTTCGTCAGGGAGCCTGCCATAGAAATATATTTTTGTTGTTGCTTCTAGTCGTCTATGGGTGCAGATTCGAAAAATTCCTATGCTCACCCGTTCCTTTTATTTTTGAACTAAGTATCTCTCATCTACTGCTTCCCAGTTCATTGTGTGTTTCTAGTTTGTTCGTTATAGCTCTGATAATGCCAAATTTAGCCCTTTTTGCTTCTTCTACTCCACTCCAGAATTATATGTATTCATCAGAGTACTGGCTTTCTTGCTCTTTCTTTATTTTGTACGAGTATAGTTCTCGAAAGCCTTAGTCCTCTTTTGTACTGTACTTGAATGGTCATATAGTGTAGTCCATAGCGCTTTTGGATTTTTAGCAGGTGCGTTTTTTACCGCAGAGTAGATAATTAGTCTACCGCTGCAATGCCTTTATTCGAGCTTGGGACCTTCAGTGACAATTTAGTTCACTTGTCCATTATCCCAGTCGGAGTGAGCTAGAAGATAACCAAATAAATTTGGGTAATTTTTTTTCATTGAATTGAAACATATATGCCAATACAGATACAAAATACAAGATGCCCTGAGGCAACAATACAAACAAAAATGAGCTACTCTATCCAGCGACAATGGGTGACAATAATACAATTTTTATTTTACATCGAAATTTGTTCTTGCAAAGCGTGGTTGAAACAACCTCGAACGTCTTTACGTCAGGTTGAAGACACAACGATGTCAAAGGCGAATAGTATTTTAAGGCGTTATAGATATCCTTATTGTGATCGGCCTTGCCACGAACTTCAGGATGTTGATAGTGTTAGTTGTTAATACAAAAAAATAAGGAGATATTAAACTTTTTCTTGGAAGTCCTTTGGTCAGATGAGTGCCGATA